TTGGCGGATAACAGAAGAACTAAGAAATTTATAATCCATGATAAACTACTGTGAACTTGAAGTAAATACAATATAACCTGCATATTTTAATTGTAAAGTTTATAAATGAGCAAGATTGCTCCAAAGTTCACTAAAAAGGAGCCAAATCACTGCATCAAAAGCATTGTTTTAAATCCGCGCTATAGTTTCGCTATAGCACGCTATAGCGTTTATAAAAGGTCTTGCGCTAAGGGACTTTGATCCAAACACATGAATAAATATTTTAAATAGCACGCTATAGCGTTTACAAGAGGTCTTGCGCTAAGGGACTTTGATCCAAACACATGAATAAATATTTTAAATAGCACGCTATAGCATTTAGAGAAGGTCCGCCGTTAAGAGACTTAGCGCGCTATTTAAAACTATGATCAAAAGATTCATGCTTGTAAAAAGCATATCCTTAGTTGAGGCACCATGAGTGCATCATGTGGTGAGGTGCGACTAAATATCGTGCCTTGTGATACACTTATGGCCCTCCCATACAAAACTGTGATACAGTACTCATCCCGGTATAAGGTTAACTAATTTCGAATGGTTTTAAAACGTGCGCCAGAACAGAGTGTTCAACTATTTAGCTAAATAAATTCACAGAGTTGTTGACCTGATATGTTCGCTTCGACTAGCAATCATACGTCTGCCAAGATTAACTTGCTGACGAGTGACCAGTAAGATTAAGGATATCATACCTAGTAGTAGTATCAGGCCATATGCTTAACAGGTTACGGAAAATAAAGACGCTCCGACAGTGCAGGCAAAAAAAGCAGGCTATATCTCGAGTCTTGTGAAAGAAACTAGCAAGTTGCTCACTTGCTGGCTGCTTATTGTCATCACTGTTTAATACCGAAATAGGCTTACGCCCCGCTATATTGATATAGCAACCACCCGATACAACAATCCGATCCATGCTGGGGCAAACAGCACAAGCACGTCCAAAAGAAATAACAAGAAAAAATGAGAGAAGAAATGCCAACAACGCCGGATCAACGAAAGCTACGACACACTGCGATCGATGCGCCCACCGAAGATAGCCACCACGCTCCAAAGCCACCGAGTTGCCGTGTACCAAGCACCACCTTCAAGAAGGAATGCGACGATGACGACGCTGCTGCCTGGACGAATCCTAGGATTTCTCTCGGTACACGGAGGGTAGAGGGGGGAGAAGGTCACCCGACGCCCTTCAAGAAGGATGGCGGCGCCCGCAGGCGTCAACGCATTGGTGCCGGCAAGACTCGACATAGATTTCTCCCGGCCTCTCGCGCCCACCACCCAGGACCAACCTTCGGCTCCACCACACTCGCCGCCCACCAACATGCGCCAACAGTCACGAGGACACCGCCGTCGTCTCACCACGGCCAACGAAGCGAGGCCGGCCGGATCCAAACGAGACACCCGAAGACAAGGACCGGCAGCACCGCAGCCACGAGGGAGGGAACAATCTCCACCGGCTTAGGCGGTAGCAGACCGGGCATAGTAGCAGAGGCACACCAGACCCCCTGTCCGGCCAGGCCCAGCGTGGGCCCGTGAAGCTCCGCCGCCGTGCTGCAGCAGTCGCGGCACAGCAGCCGCCGTCCCTGTCGCGAGGAGCTCGCTGGAACCACCGGAGAATAGCCCACTGCGGCCACCCAGCAGGCCCGCCCCGACCCAGATCGGGCCCGTAGGGCCTAGATCTGGGCCAGCCGGGCGCCGCTGGCCGCCGCAAGCCATGGGCTGTCACCGCCGCCGTCCAGATCCGCGCCGGAACGCCGGCGGCCGAAGGGCTCCGCCGCCAGGACCGCTCGCCCGAGCCGGGGTCCAGCGACGGGGAAGAAGGAGGG